TTATTACCATATTTATCTCCACCGCTGCAGATCCTCTTTCTTATAAGTTCATTTGAATGTGAATGACGGCCGTATTTGCATGAAGAAGGGGAGTTTTGATATTCCTCAACACACACACCCTTTCAGAGAATTTGCTTGAAGGAAGAAGCATTTTATTTAAAGTATTCAAACGCACTTCTTCAACGGGAAAGCTATTATTATTATTATTTTTTAGGGGCAAGCTGAAATTAAAAGTCATTTTGTGCTTTATAAAATGACTTCCTTTCTTCATGAATTTGCTTCTACCATGAGACTCACAGCACCTTAGGGATTGGGCTTGGATTGGGAGGCTCAGATGGAAGAGGAGAAAGCAATGGGCAGAAGTTAACCGTGGGAACCTGGGACGTCTTCCCTTTATGTCCCAATTTCAGACACTTTGTTTTCATTTTTAATCATTTTTATTTGATTTTACAGGTATAAAGGTATCACAATCCAACTATACACACCCACATTTAAAGATCCCTCCAAATCTCTGGACTTCCTACCTTCCCCCCATGGGTCCCATTGCAAACCTTTTTCTACTGCCTATCTTCAATAGTCCATATTTTATATAATAAAAATAAATAATAATAAATTTTATTTATATCCCGCCCTCCCCAGCCAAGGCTGGGCTCAGGGCGGCTAACAACCAATAATAAAAACAAGTTGAATGAATACAACTTAAAAACAAGATTAAAATACAACATTAAAGGAAAATTGGCTTCCAGGTGGAAAGATCCAAATTAGAAACAGAATTGTTAGAACCCAAAACTAAGAATCTGTCAAGAATGTATAACTTGCTGCTGAAATGGAATACTCAGGATGAAACGGTAAAATCGGCTATGATTAAATGGGCACAGGACGTTGGACATAACATTATGTTTGCTGACTGGGAACAGTTATGGACCACAGGTATGAAATTTACGGCATGTAATGCCTTAAGAAGAATATTATGAAAATGATATACAGGTGGTACATAACCCCAGTCAAGCTTGCGAAAATTTATCACTTGCCCGATAACAAATGTTGGAAATGTAAAGAAACTGAAGGTACATTTTTCACCTTTGGTGGACGTGCCCAAAGATTAAGGTTTTCTGGGAAATGATATATAATGAATTAAAAGGTATTTAAGTATACCTTCCCTAAGAAACCAGAGGCCTTTCTCCTGGGCATAGTGGGCCAAATGGTGTAAAAAAGGATAGAACTTTCTTTATGTATGCAACAACAGCAGCAAGAATACTCATCGCAAAGTATTGGAAGACACAAGAACTTCCTACGCTGGAGGAATGGCAGATGAAACTTATGGACTATATGGAATTGGCGGAAATGACTGGCAGAATCCGTGACCAGGGAGAAGAGTCGATGGAGGAAGACTGGAAGAAATTCAAAGACTATCTTCAGAAACACTGCAAAATTAAGGAATGTTAGAGTGATGTTGGATTGAAAATAAGTGGTTTCCAGCTGTACAGGTTAAAGTTAAGGATAGATTAAGATTAAAGGTTAAGATTAAAGATGTTTAAAGAAATGGAAATTTGATAATAAAGGGAAAAATTTAAAGCTATATGACATTAAGAGTAAGGATTAGGTTTAAAAAGTTGAAGTTATATATTTTAACATTTTAGTAAATTAAAGATTGGGATTAAAAAAGTGGAAAAGAAACTGCTGGACAAATAATGTGGATTGGAATACAAAAAAAGGAGGTATGAGGAAGTCCAGAAAATAAGTAATCTAAAATTGGAAATGGAAAAGAGAGTTTGTTTTTAATTGTTATGTTCTGTTTTTATTGTTAAGTTTTGTATTGTTTTTTGTGTATGTTGTTTTTCTTATTTCTTTGTTTAAAACCTTAATAAAAAATAATTAAAAAAAATAAAATAAAATACAACATTAAAACATTAAAATGCAGCCTCATCACAGGAGGAGAAAGGAAAAAAGAAAGAGGGGGAGGGAATCAAATTGACTCCAAGCCAAAGGCCAGACAGAACAACTCTGTCTTACTGGCCCTGCGGAAAGGAATCAGATCCTGCAGGGCCCTGGTCTTATGAGACAGAGCGTTCCACCAGGCCGGAGCCATTGTTGAAAAAGCCCTGGCTCTGGTTGAGGCTAATCTAACTTCCTTAGAGCCCAGGACCTCTAGGGTGTTGCTGTTTATGGACCATAAGGTCCTCCGTGGGGCATACCGGGAGAGGTGGACCTGTAGGTACGAGGGTCCCACTCCATTGTCTCCATAATAATTGCTACATTGCAAGTGTTATTGCAACCCTGCTAATGTTTTTATCTGCTTACAGTGGTCTCCAAGATAAACTATAAAAAATTTCCATTCTTTGTTAAAGTTTTGGTCGTCTTGGTCTTCCTGAGCTTTCCGCCAGTTTTGCCATTGCAGCATAGTCCAACAGTTTAATTTGCCATTCTTCTCTGGTAGGGACTTTATCTTGTTTCCATCTCTGGGCTAATAGCCTCCACGCAGCTGTCATTGCATATATAAAAAGTATTTTCTGCTCCCCCAACTTCAGACACTTTGGAAGGGTAAGCAGGGATGCCAGCTGTCCCCACCAACCCTGCTGCAGAGTGGAGGACCTCAGTGGGGATTGGGGAGGGCTTTGATCAGCTGATGGGGGAAGCTGGACAGAAGATGGCAGTGACTGAACAGGATGTTGTAGGATTGGGTCATGAGTAGACATTGTGGAATGGCTGGTCAGATCAGGATGAGGCAGGGGAGGTGTTGCCTGTTGATAACCCTGGGTAGGGGCTGTGATTGGGACAGGTTGTTTCAGGGCCTCACGTCACCCCAAGAAGGAGCTACAGATGAGGAGTCAGGTCCCAGGGAAGGTCCCAGCAGTGTAACCTCCAGCACTCCACTCTGCCCCATATTATGGCACCTAGACACACTGCACCTACTTCACCCCCATGCCAGACTCACCTCCAATTGTGTCAACCCTTCCAGTGCCACTGGAGCTCACCCCTGGCCTGTCCTCCCAGAAATAGTCACTCTGGCTCAAAATGCTGCCCATGTCTCCTTCACCTAGCTCATGGAAGTGCCAGTGCAGATGTGATCTGACAGCTCAGGTCCAGCCCTCCAGAAGGAGTTCCCATTTGCTTGCCCCTTTCAAACGAATGTCCTACTTGCTGAAGTTGTGCCCACCCCATTCCCAAATAAGGGGACCCATGGGGATGTGTCGCTCATTGGATCAACGTCTTAGCTTGCCATATGTAGCACCTGCTGTGCCTATGGATCCTATTTTACCTGGGCATAGTACTGATTTGAGCAAAAATTCTACTTTGAGTTTGGTTAAAGGTTTGCAGAGGGGAGCATGTATAAGCTTGACATTTTGACATTCCCCACAAAGTTCAAGGGTTTTGTGAATGAGCACACCATGCCTAGTCACTAAAAGCTTGCTGGGAGGGTCAGAAAAATCTGTTTGGACATTTTCATTGCTTCTGTCCTGTTCTAAACCTCTTGCCATGCTCCTGAGCTCCTGAACCATGACTCCTGAGCCCTGTGTCTGATACTAAGCCTGTACTCTTACTTACCTGAGTAAACATCTCTAATTTACTTAAAAGAGCTTCTGTTTGCATGTTTTGAGCAGGAGCCAGGAGAGCTTGCGAAAATATTTCTAAGCATGTCTATGTGATGTGCGCTCTCTCTCTCTCTCTCTCTCTCTCTCTCCTTCTCTTTAGGCATTGGTTCCTGAGCCCTGTTGGATGAGGTCAATGGTCCCCATCTAGTCCAGCATCCTGTTCTCAAAGTGGACAACCAGATGTCCCAATGGGAAACCAGCAAGAAGAACTCAAGCACAAGAGCACTCGTCTTGTGTTTTCTATCAACTGATGTTCAGAAGAAGGGTTGGCCCAAGACATTTTGGCACCTGAGGCAAACCACAAAATGGTGCCTTCTTACCATCAAGGAAGACGTGGTGAGTGAAGATCTGTATCAAGAATGAGGAGGGGATAAAGATCTACATTGGGAACAAAGGATGAGAGGAGTCTAGTCATGCCTCCCAGCAGTTCAGCTATTGTAGAGGCAGCATGGGTGTGGGGCTTCCAAGGAGACAACAGATATGGTCTCCAAAGGAGTATGCCAGCAGGTGATGCATTCCCTGGAGGCTGAATCTGCTGCCCTTGTGGATCCTGCTGCCTGAGGTGGTTGATTCATCCTGTCTCATGGGTGAGCCAGCCCTGTTCAGAAGCATTACTGTCTCCAACTGTGGAGGCAGAGAAGAGCCTCCATCACAGTTACCAACCAGTGACAGCCCTCTCCTCCATGAATCTGTCTGATCTTCTTTTAAAGCCATCCAAAATGGTGTCCATCACTCCCTCCTGTGGGAGTGAGTTCCATAGTTTAACTGTGCGCTGCATTAATAGGGGCTTTAAGTTTGGCCTAAGCAAAATCCTGAGGACAAAATATGTCTTTGCTAATTAAAGCAAAGAAATGTGTGTGTTCCCTTCCTCTACACCCTGACTTACAATCCTTCCCTTTTCACCCACTCAAGCAAAGTCGTTTTCACACCTGCCTTTTTCTCTTCAGAGCCACCGCACGCTTCCTTTCACACTGTGAGAAGAGCCGCATGGTGCCACAGCCCACAAGGTGTTTCAAACTTAGGAACAGGCAAATCTGATCCCGAGGGTTGAGATAACAGTTGTTTGAAAGGGCTGGGGAAGCAGGAGAATACGAACAGTGTTGAGAAGGAAGGTGGGGATGTGAAAGAGGAATGAAAAGTCAATTCAAGTATTTGTTTCAAAGCGGTCTTAAATATTGGAAGTGCTTCTACAAATGGAGAAGAGGCGAAGTTTGAGGTTTCTAAAGAGGAGGTTGTTGCTTAAAGAACTGCTATGTTCACCAAACAAGCACTTTGTTAATCTGCTTTAGTCAAACAGATCCCAAATCAAATCCCATTTCAAACAAAAACAATGGAACACCAGTCTTGTCTACACTGGCTGGCAGCAGCTCTTCAGGGTTTCAGGCAGAAGCCTTTCCCAAGCCTACCTGGAGATGCCAGGGATTGAATATGGGACCTTCTGTAATGTACAGCAGATGTTCTGCCACTGAGCTACAGCCCTTCCTTTGAGTCGTGGGTAAAAAGGAAGCTGCCTCATATTTAGTCAGACCAATGGCCTGTCTAGCTCAGTACTGTCTGAAACAGGGCATTTCTAGCTAAAAAGCTGCTCCAACGGACGGAGGAAGTCAAAGAGATAGAGAGAGAGTGCTGCATGCCTTGTCCTTTTGTTACCTGAACAGGTAAGATCACGCCCACCTCTAGTCACATGCAAAGAAAGGATGTTCCAGTTTCCAGGAGGAAACATGCAAAGGAAGGATGTTCCTGTTTCCAGGAGGAAACATACAAAGAAAGGATGTTCCAGTTTCCAGGAGGAAACAGGAAGTTTTCGACTGGCTGGACCAAACATTCCCCCACATGTCCACTCTAGGAAAACAGAGAATGTTCTACTTGACTGCTTCTTATGCATCACATCCCACACTTTGCACTAATTACAGAAAAAGAGGGGGTAAATACACTCACCCCAAGCATCCCTGACACATGACTCCAGATGGGATCCATCCATGCCCAGCAGATGATTTGAGGATCCTAGCTCAAGCTGAGGTGATGCTGCCCCTTCCCTTCCTCTGCTACAACCAGCAATCCATTCCTCTTCCCTCTCTCACACATACCTCCATTTTTCTTCCCACCTCCCCCCACCCACCCACTCATTCCAACCGCTCCACACCTATGAACTCAGCTTCCCAGCATGGGGACAGAGCATTTCTCCTCTTGCGTCAAAATAAACAGAAGTGCAGTCCTGTTTATGCGGCGTGTTTACCAAGCAATTCATAATGATGACAGGAACATGACAACAAAGGAGGCAAAAAAAGAGAGCAATGTCCTAACAGCTTTCAGAAATGCTCAGCGATATAGGCTGGTTTGTGTCTACAACAGAGTGTGGCTTTCATTCAGAGGAGAGGGAGGGAGGAATCACTTGCATGGTTCCCCCCCCCCCCAAGAAGTTTAGGATGGCAAACATGGTATCCTCTCCAACTGTTTTACAGGTTGACTCACTCAAATTCGCCTCCTGAGCTGCATGGCTAAGCAGCGGTTTGAAACCCTGATATCCCTGATCCTTACCTGACTGTCTAGACTTGTTCCAGCCCACCTGGTGCCCTTCAGATCTTTGGGACTACAAATGCCATCAGCCCCAAACATTTGGAGGTCCCCAGGTTGGGAAAGCCTGGCCTAGATCTTACCCAACACCATCTTGGGTCACCACGGAATCCTGCTAGAAGTTAAATAGGATTTATGCAACATAGGTCCAGTTTACCTTGGGGACTGACAGAATACTTATGATCCAGCCTGATCCATGCAGGAGCATCATGGATCATTCCTCGAGTTGGTGAGGCTCATTTGACAACAAGAAACTGAGTTGTAAGTCTTCTCAGCCCAGCCCCTTGGCACCTTCTATGCCAACTTTTTAACGCCTGTTGAAAACTTTTTTACTCTGTCAGGCTTATGCAGCCAAGTAAGAGGACATGTTTCCATAATAGCTAGCTGATTTCTGACTTCAATATTTTTATATGCTTTTTATTGTATGGTTTTATGTATACCTATTGTGAACACTCTGAGATGATGATAGATGATAGATGATAGATGATAGATAGATGATAAATAAATAGATGATAGATGATAGATAGATAGATAGATAGATAGATAGATAGATAGATAGATGATAGATGATAGACGCACACATATGAATAGCGGTATATAAATATTTTATAAGTAATGTCAAATATTCAGTAAATATTAAAAATAAGCAAAAGTCGAGGCCTACAAATCAGACCAAAGTTCAGTCTCGTTCCAGGGGTTGGCAACCTCTAGCCATCATGCCAATCTTGACCCACGACGGGATTCAATTTGTCCTGCAGGGCTATTCCCCTAAAACTATGCTCACCTGTCAATCAAACTATGCTCACCTGTCAATCAATGGGTGAAATCAGCTGATGTGTGGGAGGCATGCTTCAGTCCTGCTAGGCATGCTTATGTGATGAAGTCCTTCCATTTTCTGACTTGAATGTCCTATCATTCAGCTTTGCTAGATAACACCAGTGGGTTCTACTATTAGGAGAGAGTGAGAAAATACATATATTTGTGTTTCATGCTCCATGTACTATTTGTTGTGTTTCAATTTATCCACATTTTCTAAAAATCTGGCAAGGAGAATTTTGTGGACATTTCTTTCGGGAGCAAATTTATTTCAGCTACTTCAGCTGCCAACATTTTGCAGCCAGGACCGCATTTGCAATGCGTGTGCTAAAGCTATACTTTGACTTCTTGGTTTATGGAGGGGAGAACCCTCCCTTATTTCACCGAAGGTAAATAGAACCATATTGATCTATACTCCATGCAATTTGTTTCCATAAAGTTATACAGCTATGTTATGGGTGACAGTTGTCCATTCTAAAACATCAGTGTAAAAGCTTTAGTAGGCATAAATTACCCATATTCTGGGTTGTAAAAAGATTACTTTGAGCAGAAGCTCTCCTCCTTTCATACCTCGTCATTCACATAAATTTGACTGTGTAATTTAGGATTGGCAGATGTCCCTTAATTGGACACTAAGTGGAGGAAAAAACACCCCAGCATCAAGAGAAATGGGAGATATAAGATGCACTGTGTAGGTGTGTAAGAGAGAGAGAGAGCGACAATATTCTACAAGAAGGGGAAATTCTCTGAAAGTTATTTTGGGAGGATGCTTATTTTGAATTTCAGCATTTGCTTGAAAGCAAGATTCTAGACCTTATGGCCACTTCTCAGCACATACCTCCTTGTCCATTGCAAGCAAACAACAACAACATTGTTTTTCATCATTAATTATAGTGGTTATTATTACTACTAATAATGAACAACAGTGCTGTTCTATGCATTTCTACTCAGAAGTAAGCCCCACTGGACTTACATCCAGGTAAATGTGTATAGGGTTGCAGTTTCAGTCATGCAAATTGACAGAGATTTTCATTTCAGCTTTGCATGGTGTAGAATTGTATTTTGTGTCAAGGACTTTCAGCTCACAATAACTGATTTCTCTTTCCACATTGCTTGATCTTCCACCCCTTAGCCTTTTTGAGACAGACAGATGCCAACAAGGTAAAGGTAAACAGTGAGCCAGTGTGGTGTGGTGGTTAAGAGCGGTAGTCTTGTAATCTGGGGAACCGGGTTCGCGTCTCTGCTCCTCCACATGCAGCTGCTGGGTGACCTTGAGCCAGTCACACTTCTCTGAAGTCTCTCAGCCCCACTCACCTCACAGAGTGTTTGTTGTGGGGGAGGAAGGGAAAGGAGAATGTTAGCCGCTTTGAGACTCCTGAAGGGGAGTGAAAGGCGGGATATCAAATCCAAACTCTTCTTCTTCTTCTAAAGGTAAAGGGACCCCTGACCATTTGGTCCAGTCGTGACCGACTCTGGGGTTGCAGCGCTCATCTCACTTTATTGGCTGAGGGAGCCGGCGTACAGCTTCCAGGTCATGTGGCCAGCATGACTATGCCGCTTCTGGTGAACCAGAGCAGCAAACGGAAACACCGTTTACCTTCCTGCAGGAGTGGTACCTATTTATCTACTTGCACTTTGACGTGCTTTCGAACTGCTAGATTGGGACCGAGCAATGGGAGCTCACACCGTCGCGGGGATTCGAACCGCCTACCTTCCGATTAGCAAGTCCTAGGCTCTATGGTTTAACCTACAGCACCACCCGCATCCCAATGCCAACAGGACACAGGTAAATATCCCTCAGTTCCCCTCAAAAAGCCATCATGGCTTTGCAATCTTTGAAAGTGATCAGTTGGGGGGGGGGACTCAGATGTTGGAAGTGACACCATCAGCAGGCTAGCCAGTTCCCAGGACTCACCAAAGCATCATTTCCTGTTGGGGTAAAGGAGTTTGTCACCTTCTCTTAAGAAGATGACCAATTCCGTTATTCCTTTTCTATTTCATTAGATTCCAGTGAGCAAGTGAAGTTGTTGATCTTGAGCCTGGGATCACTAATGCATTGGAGCAGTGTCAATAGATTAAAATTTGGTCCAAATTAGCCATAAATTCTAACCCTGTTGAGAAATAAATGGAGTGTGGGGGGTACAGGAAGGGAGGCGTCCTTTGCAGAGCAACTCTCTGACCCCACCAGTCTCTCTCTGGGTAGGATTAGCTCTTAAAGGTCCAGGGCACAACTTCTCTGCCAATTACCTAGAAAGCACTATATGACCCAGGACTTACTTCACGAACCCTCATATTATTAATTTGCATGAATCAGAGCCTCTCCTGTGATCCATCATCTATACAGCTTGGGCCCAGGCTACTTGAAATAACATATCTCGTTCTGTGAACCTGTCTGGGTGCCAAGATTCTTGGATGAGAACCTTCTCTTGGTCCCACCAACATCAGGGGTGTGGTTGGTGGTGACATGAGAGAGAGCCTTAACTGGGGCTGCTCTCATGTTGTGGAATGCCCTCCCAAGAGAAGTTGGATTGCCTTCTTCTTTGTTATTTCCCCCCCTGCAGGCTAAGACCTTCCTGTTCAAACAGGCCTTTGGAAACTAAAGGTGCAGACCCTCTAAGTGCCAGTATTTGGAAGCCATCCAGAGTGGCTGAGGTAACCCACTCAGATGGGTGAGGTATAAATAATAAAATAACTGTTACTGTTACTACTACTACTACTACTACTATGGAAGAGTCCTATTTTCATTGGAGAAATATTGGAGCTTATGCAGGTGTATATGATGCTGGCCACTGGGCTGCTGTCAGGGCAAACGGTACCTTAACTGCTAGTTATAGTGCCTCAGTTTTATGCACTTGCTTTTTGTCAACTGATATGCAATTTTCCAAAAACACTCTTCATTGCAAGGATTGTCCCCTAACATAATGTAGCCTTGTTTATTATTTTCAATAATGCATGCATTTTTGTGTGTGCAGATGTTTTCCTTTGAAGAAATGCATCAAAAAAGTTTAGAGAAGTGTCAAAGGATAGCTATGTTTGGTTTGCTTGTTGGTTTAGGAAGTGACAATTTTGTAGGTTTGCATTAAACACCATCCCTATCTAAGCTGACAAGGCAGTCTCCAGATGTTGTTGGACTACCGCTCTCATCATCCCTGGTGACTGGCCATGTTGTCTGGTGGGAGGTGATCTGAATTGGGTACTACCATTAGTCTAGGATGACTTAGCCACATCCTGATGGCATTTCCTCACCCCACATCATTGGTTGCCCCAGGCCAGTGGTTCTCAACCTGTGGGTCCCCAGATGTTGTTGGACTACAACTCCCATCATCCCTGAGCTCTGGCCTTTCTAGCTAGGGGTGATGGGCGTTGTAGTTCGACAATATCAGGGGACCCACAGGTTAAGAAAGGCTGTCCCAGGCACAAAGCCACGATAGTAGGACATGGGTGATGTCTATAATGCTTCACATCATCACCCCAAACTGCCTTTGAGGCACAATCACACAGTGAGATAATTTGCTTGGCTATGATGGAAATTGTTGCCCAACAACATCTGGTGGGCAGCACATTGACTACCCTCCACAAAAGTCTTCAAGGACTAAATGATGTTCCTGGATGCCTTCTGTTCCTGTGGATTTCCTTTGGCTTTTGTTCCTGGATTGTCTGAGTCCCCAGTATGCACATCTGATGCTGAGCATAGCTGAGCTGCTTCTGTTGATAGCGGTCTAGCTGCACATCTGGTGATGTGCAGCTGAGTGTAGCCTAAAATTGGGGGGGGGAGTGGAGGTCTGACAGCCCAATTAATATTCATCATAAGGAGGAGAGGAAATGCTGAATTGTTTATCATTGGTTCATTAACTGTATAGCCAAACAGAACCTAAACATAATTGCTCCCATAAACTTCTGGCAGGAAAAATAATAATAATAAAATGTAGGGACAATTTGATGCCTTTTGGATAACAGTTTTAAGGGGGTGACCTTACCTCCTGGAACAGGTGACAACTAAAAGAATTTTTGCTGTGCTTTCCTGCCAACACAGCCTGTCAGTTCCAAGTATTCAGGCCCTTTCACACCCAGTGAAAGTTGCCCTGTTGTTTGGCATATATTGAAACATGAAATGTTACCCAGCTCTATGCCAGGGATAGATTTGTCCCACTCTCTTTAAAGCTAGAACAGATATTCAAGTCAACATCTCTGCACTAAGGATGCTTAATGGATAGGATGAGATGTATACATCTATAATGCCTTATTCTCTTTTAGAAACACAAAACTACCCACTCACTCGTCCCAGTGCAACAATATGATTAGCCAGCTGCTCTCTGGGGGTCATGGAGGAATTGTTGGGTGTTCCTCTGGTTGGCTCCCCCCCCCCTTAGCCTGCACCATACTGTTCAGATTCTTTCTTTTGCCTGCAGCAAGCAGTGGGCTTGGATAAGGTACCCTGCTTTGAGTAGCCTGCAACTTGAAGGGTAAAGAGTTGATTATCCAACCTAGCTCTCATTGCTGGTTGGCTCAAGAGAATAGGGGAAGGGAGTTTCCATTGGTTCTTGGAGGTCTTGGGCCAGGGATGAGGAAACTGTCTGGTCCCCCAGATGTTGCTGGACTCCAGGCCTCTATCACCCCTGAAAATTTGCCATGGTGGCTGGGGTTTGATGGGAGATGGAGTCCAATAATATCTGGAGGGCCACAGGTTAGCGTCCTTTGAGTTGGCTCTCAAACACTGCTCATTCAGATGGGATGGAGTAATCAGGGGCCCCTTGCTTCACCTTTATGGTACACAGTTGATGAAAGGCACTGATCAGAACAATTTTTGATCCAGTGCATTAAGCCAGGGTAGTATTGGCCTATAGGAGTCTATGGGAGGCTTGATTGGTGACAATAGGCTTGGTGAACATTTCAAATCTTGTTATATTTCATGACACCACCAAAACTCAAAAGCAGCAGGAGTGAAGCTGTGGCTTTGCCAAATTTTCTGTCTGTATACATAAATGTGTAAGGCTGCTGTCACACAGCGCCCAATCTGTAGTGCAGCATTAAAGTCCTTGGTTTGAATGCAGTCTGGGTGGGGTGGGGTAGCAAAAGAGAAAGCAGGTTTTTATATGGTGGTTTTAAACAACAGCAGAGGTTTGAATAAAGCAGGGCTGGAGGGACTCAGTGGAACTGTGAGGTTATAGGGGCGACTTGAAGGAGCTGTGATGGGACGGGCTTTGGGTGAAGTGTAAAGGGAGGAGGTTGCAGATAGGCAATGGGTTGGGGTGAGGTTGGCAGGGTTGTCAAGCAATGTGAGCAGGGGCAGCAGCCCCAAGAACATTCAGAAATACTGGTCTATCTGGAGTTACATAGTCGAAAGTGAGATAGAAGCAGGGGCAGACTCTGGATGGAACCTGAAACAATCTGAAACAATGGCATTGGTTCCTGGTGAGATTCCTCTGCTGTTTTTCTGGCTTACTTTGCCCTCTATTTTATTCCCTCTGAATTCCAGTTTAAGTAATTAAGAGTTTGCACATAGCAGGGGAAGAATGGGCGGAAATAACTGCAATGTCATGCTGGTTGCTCTCCCCATGTTTTCCTACAGCAAAATCGTTGCCGCATTCAATGGACTGTTACTGATACATTGCAAAAGGACATGGCTGCGTGCTGCCGCTCAAAGACTTTGAAGATAGTGATTTGGTTTCCCGTTTGAATGCAGTTAAATTGGGTGCAATGGAGCAGCCCCAAGACTTTGTACATGAAGTTCTGATTATGCCATGGTGGAACATCAGCTGGAGAGAGCCTAAGAGCATGGGCTCATTCTCTGCAGACATTCCTCTCATTCCAGAAAGAGGAGGAAGGAAAGGCCCAAACTACTGTGTGTGTGTTTTTGAAAGCTCCTCTCACATAAAAGGCTGGACATAAGAAGAGCCTGCTCCTACAGTGGCCCTTCAAATGCCCATGGGAAACCCACAAGCAATACCTGAGCACAAGAACAACTGGTATTCAGAAGCCTCTTACTGTGGCAGCAGAGCTTAGCCATCATGGCTGGTACCCATAAAAAGCCTTATCCTCTTGTTTAATAACACAGAGGCAATGTTAATAGCCCCAAGAAGGAACTGTGGGCTATTTAGCTGACCATTTCCCACAACCATAAGAACATCCTGCTGGATCATTTGAAGGGCCAATGGCCCATTTAGTCACAGTGGCCAAACAGATGTCCCATTGGAAAACCCTCAGGCAGGACTTGAGCACAAGAGCATCTTCCCCTCCTGTGGCTTCCAGAGACTAGTATACAGAAGCATTACTATTTCTGACAGTGAGGGTAGAGCATAGCCAGCATAGCTATTGGCCTTCTCCTCCATTATTTGCCCAATCCTTTTTTCAAAGCCATCCAAGTTGGTGACCATCATTGCCTCCTGTGGGAAGGAGTTCTATAGTGTAACTCTACTCCATGTCAAGAACTGACTGGGAGGAAATGGATCAATGCAAGAAGAAAACAGACTCTAACATAGTCTTTTTTCACCAAGGATAGGCCCTGTTTTCTGATGCTCCTGGAGGATTTCATCTTAGCATTCTGTAAGCACAAACAGCCTAGCATGGTTGATGGTTTTGCCCCTCCCCAAACTATTAGAAAAAAACCCAGAGGAAGCTACCTTATGCTGACTCAGGCCATTTCTTTTCCTAGCCAGTGTAGTGTGTTAGTTAGGACCTGGGAAACCATGGTTCAAATCTCCACTCAACCATGGAAAAGCTCACTGGGGACATTGGAGCCAGTCACTGCCTCTCAGCCTGACCTATTTCCCAGGGTTGTTGTGAGGACTGAATGATGAGGTGGAGAACTATGTATGCCAGCTTGAGTTCCTTGGGGGGGACAGTGGGCTATATATTCAATGAATATATATATTTAGTATGTATGTATGTATGTATGTATGTATGTATGTTTTTATTATGTTTTTAGATATGCTGTAAGCTGCCCAGAGTGACTGGGGAAACCCAGCCAGATGGACGGGGTATAAATAATAAATTATTATTATTATTATTATTAAGGATTGCCTAAACTGACTGACAGAGCTAGGTTTCAGATCAGGATCTTTCCCAGATCTACCTGAAGATGCTGGGAATGGAACCAAGGACCTTCTGGAAGCAAAAGTTGTGTTCTACCATTGTTGCTGAACTCTCATCATAGAAACATAAGCACCTGCCTTATATTGACTGTGGCTGAGTCTCATCTCTACAAGGATTGGCAGCAGGACTCCAGGGTTTCAGACCGGGGGCATTCCCAGCCCTACCTGGAGATGTTTGAGATAGAATTTGGGGATTTCTGCATGCAAAGCAGATGCTCAGTCTCTGAGCTACAGCCCTTCATTCCTGACCATTGGCCAAGATGTCTGGGGTTGGCAGGAGTTGGGTTCAGCTAACATCTGGGGAGCTGCCGATTGCCCCATAGGATCCAAGGAGGTTGTATTATACAACGTCAGAGCATTGACTCACCTAACTCACCATTGTCTATGCAGACTGAACCAGCTCTCTGGGGTTTCAGGCACCAGTTTTCCCCAGCCCTTCCTAAAAATGCCTGGTATGCAATCTTTTCAATGAAAAGCGTGGCCCCTAAGGACTGAAACCTTGGCCCCTTAAAGAAAAGGGGGTACACATCTACATGAGCACTAAGGCACCATTGGGTGTTCACCTTTCACACACCCATAGCTGGTTCACTTTATGTGAAGCACTGATGACATGTTAGGCAGCAACAACTTTCCAGATTATATTGGAGCCTGGATGGTTTAGTTGGTTAGAGTGTGGTTCTGACAATGCCAAGGCTGCAGGTTTGATCCCCGTATGAGACAGCTGCATATTCCTGCATTGCAGGGGGTTGGAATAGATGATCATCGGGGTCAATTCCAATTCTATTATTCTATTTTTAACCAAAAGAGCAAGTGTCTCATTTGCATTTGAATCAATACAGGCAGGGTCCCGCAGCAGAAAAGAATACTGTATGCAACTGGGTTGGGAAAGGGTTCAGCACTATGCATGTGGGAGAGGCATAAAAAGTGATCCATGGTGTGAGAACAGGCAAGTTACAATGCACATAACCACCAGCACTACTATTTTCCTCTCTGTAATGTAGGAGGCTATGCTGAGTCCTGCTAAAGAAAAGCAAGTAAGCCTCTACTTAAAATGTGGAGTGCACAAGGTAATAATTTGTGCGCCTGAATTCTTTGAGGAAAAGAGAATGTGCAGTGCAAGAGGTTCTTTAAAAAAAGAAGAAAAAACACAGCAGTCAGTAAGTGAAAAAGAATTTCAGAGAATCACAGAATTATAGAGTTGGATGGGACACCAAGGACCATATATGCCAACTTACTGCATTGCAAGACTCATAAAGAATCCCTGACAGATGACTATTTGACTTCTATTGAAAAGACCTATGATGACCCACAACCTTCTGAGGTAGTCCATTCCACTGCCCAACAGCTCTTGCTGTCAGGAAGTTCAGGCAATGACTGACTTATACGCATGCCCAATCGACACATGACTGTGCACATGTGCACCACGGTGACCTGGAAGTGGCCAAAAAAGGGGGCAAGACAGGGCAGAGTGGGCTTATGCATGCTCCACCATCTCGCACGATGATCCAGGATGCAACCCCTGCGCAAATCGGGGATTGCCTGTTCTTCCAAATGTTTACTTGAAATCTCCTTTCTTTTTTAGATTAGTTTTTATTTGAATTAGTTTTTCTTAGTTTTACTTTCTTATGCAACAGACATAGAAATAGAGGTGATGATGACAAAAAGTACAGATAGCGTCTCCACTTTTAATAATAATAGTATTTATTTATTTATTTATTTATTTATTTATACCCCGCCCATCTGGCTGGGCTTCCCCAGCCACAAAATATTAAAATACAATAATGCATCAAACATTAAAAGCTTTCCTAATCAGGGCTGCCTTCAGATGTCTTCTAAAAGTCTGGTAGCTGTTGTTCTCTTTGACATCTGGTGGGAGGGTGTTCCACAGGGTGGGTGCAACTACCGAGAAGGCCCTCTGCCTGGCTCCCTGTGACTTGGCTTCTCGCAGTGAAGGAACCGCCAGAAGGCCCTCGGCGCTGGACCTCAGTGTCCGGGTAGAACGATGGGGGTGGAGATGCTCCTTCAGGTATACTGGACTGAGGCCATTTAGGGCTTTAAAGGTCAGCACCAACACTTTGAATTGTGCTCGGAAACGTACTGGGAGCCAATGTAGGTCTTTCAAGACCGATGTTATGTGGACTCGGCGGCCGTTCCCAGTCACCAGTCTAGCTGCATAGAGTTTGAATCCATTGGTTTGGGACCTTTCCTCTGCAGCAGCAGCAACAAACAAGCCTACTCCACCTCCCATAGGGCAGCACTTCAGACTGGCCCCCAAAGTCACCCATTGAGCTTCATGGCTGAGTGGGGATTTGAACCCTGGTCTCCCAGCTACTTGGTATGACACTCTAACCACTATATCACAGTGGCTTCAAAGTAGATATTTGTTATAAATATAGAGAGCAGTGCTGGAAAATTCTTTCAACCATTTTGGCCTGAACCAGCAGCACCCTCCTAGGTTCAGGGGCTGGGGGAAGAATATTTTCGGGAAACTTGATTCCGAGTGGGTTCAGCCCATCTCTGAAAGTAAACACATACACCCAATAGCAAGTAGATGTTCTATTAAACTAATCAGAATTAACCCCACCCCGTTTGACAGGCAGAGAAAGCTTTTCTGTCAAGGCTCTCCCCCACCCTATGCCATGCCAGCTTCCCCCTAATTGATATTGGATACATCTCAGAAAAAGGGCTTGATTTAAATGTATGAATTTCTTTCCTGCACTTGCAATCCTGCTGGCTGTGAGACACCTAATTAACAGTGGAGCTTTCAGAGTTCGCCTAACAAATGGGTCCCTATGAGTTTTTTTTTAAAGCAAGGACTCTCATTAGCAGAGCTGTTCTTTGTGATTATTTATACCCCTTCTATAATTAAAAATTCTGAAAGCTAATTACAATTATCCATCAGTTTTCCCGACATGCCGGGACTGGAGATCTTAACCTTTTTGGTTTTTTTAGCAGCATTGTCTTTCACCCTGAATTCTCCTGGAAGCCACAGACCTTCTCTGAAATTCATTTAGGTGACTCTTCTGCTCCTTCTTTTCCCATCTGTCCTCAGTTTCTCCTCTGTTCTTTATTTCTGTACAGATTGTAATTTTGTTAATCCCAGTCCTTGTGGTCATCTAAGGAAGCTGGGGGTATTTAATGCCTTTAACTGCTTTTGCTGTTTTTATTCCACATCACCTTGAGACGGTTGTGTAGCGGGTGACACAGAAGTTCATCAGACCATGCATGACATGCAGAAAGGGGATAGAGATAAGTTTCCACCCATCTCTCATGGCACTAGAACTCATGGTTATCTGATGAAGCTGAATTTTGAAGGATTCAGGGCAGACAAAATGAAGCCCTTCTTTCCATAGTGCACAGTTACACAGGAACAAAGGAATAGCCGGCTGGATCAGGCCAATAGTTCAATATCCTCTTCTCACATCCTCTGCCTCCACGGTAAGAGACAGCAATGCTTCTGAATACCAGTTGCTAGAAATCACAGGAGGGGAGATTGCTCTTGAGCTGATCTCTTAGCATTTGGTTATGGGGAGTAGGGAGTTTAATATAAACACCTTTTAAAGACCTATTTGTTAATGAGGGGCATTCTTTTTAATTTCCTGATGCAATGACAGTTTGAATAGACTCTGTTTCAAAGCGAAAGATTGGGTCTATCACTAGGTGGCTAAATTATACACCTCGTTTTCTTTTCACCTGTCTCTATATGTTATTTATTACCTCCTTGTCCTTTCAGTGGTCTGGTGCTTCCCATCAGATGAAAAAAAATTGAGTGGGTGAAGCCAGAAGCATGCACTACCATCTGCAAATATTTCCAAGACTTTTAAAGCAATATTTTTGATATTTGGTGGTTGTTTTCCTCAGTTGACTAACACATGCCTTTGATGACATCATCACAGAGCCAAATCTGATCGGCTGTGTGGGTTTATGTTGTGTTTTTTTAATCGCTATTAACCTTTTTCGAAATGCAGTTTAAAACAAAACACTTGCAAAGAGTGAGTAATATTAACTTAATAACTTAAGCTCAATAACTATGCATCATAATAACCTTAGTGCTGAATTTTCTCCTTTAGATTTTCTTTACAGGGTTTTGAGATGAAGGAAAACCTCGAAAGGGCCATAGTCTAGAGCAGTGGTTCCCAATTAGGGGCCTTCGGATTGCACCCAGAGCATCTGCGGCCTCATCCCTTGCCTCCTCCCCAACTATTTTGTTGTCATTTTTGCAAGGTGATATCACAAATTGGATGGTCTGTTTTAGCGCTGTGCGATTTTTCAACATGTTGACCAAAACCGGTTTTGAAATCACACTGTGATAACGATTTTGACCTGGCAATATGCAGCAATGTATCGCTGCTCATGAGGGGTGGGGGGTGGGGGGGTGGACAGGGCAGCCGATTTCAAGGCACCACCAATATTGCTTGATGATCTCAGCTGGTAACAGTGCTGATCTGAGCTGCCTTTCCTCACGCTGAGGGAGAACAGGGCAGCTGATTGCCCTCACTTCAAGGCACTGTGGCACTACCTGTCAGGAGTTCGTCCTACACTCAAGTAGGACCCTGATAGAGACACAAGCCTGACTGGCATGTTCTCTCCCTTCTGGTCATTCACTCAGGAGCTTCATTAGCTTTCTTCAGCCCGAACATCACAGAGACCGATGCCAACAGACATCGGCACACTTAGGGATCCGTAGAGTTTGCGCAGCTTGCGTAACAAACCTCAGCAACTCAGCATTTTGGCTAATCTACTTTATTTACATATAAACACACACGGAGCACTGCAGCATGGCTTCCTCTCTCTCTAGCATCAGACAGCAAAGAGAAAAAGAACAAAGGACAATAGTCCCACTTCACGGAACACAGCAACACGAACATCCTGTCTTCGTCACTTTCCACTCTGTGGAGTCAAAACACACACCGTCATGTGATAGACAAAAATCCCATGACTGCAACCATGGAGCCGGAATTCTAACACTACCTTCCCCTGGCACTGAGGTGGACAGCTTTTCTCAGTCAGCAGGAAAGCAGCAGCAGCCACAGTGGACGTGCATCTTCGCTGGCTGCCACTGCTGGCTGCTCCACTTACGGCGGCCTGATACACCCCCATCCCCTCAAACCATGTGGTGGAGGTGACTCCCCTTCCTCTCCTCCCCCCACCCATATGATCCCATGCGGCTGCTCCTTCCCTCATCCCCATGCCTGATCTCCAATTCCAGACATTGTGACATATCAGAATATCTTGATGTTTAGCTGCTGATAGATCATGATGCTGAAAACCAGATACAGCTCAGCTCTAGTCTCTTTATTTAGAAACAAGTAGAGTCCCCTAAAATCCTTTGCTTATTACCCCACATTTTGTTCAAACAATTGCTGTCAAAAATTGCTTATCAAAATTTTCAGAAGCTGGGGAACTGTGGGTTGGTTTTTGAAAAACAGAGGATCCTCAGTAATCATGTAGCTAATTGGGAGCCACTGGTCTAGAGTACCGTACTTTTCCCTGTATAAGACTAGGGTTTTTTTTTACTCCAAAATAATGTTAAAAACAGAGGTCATCTTATACACGGTGGTCATTTTCATAAAATTTCATAAATTTCATAATTTCATAAAATCCCCCATTTTCATAAAATTGAGTCCCCCCAAAATAGGGGTCGTGTTATACATGGGGGCATGTTATACACAGAAAAATACAGTATATTGGGGGTTGGCATTATCCTTTATGCTTGTTCAATCAATAAACGCTTTCAATGTTTTTCTAAATGAATCATTTGTATTTTGTTCCCTGGTTGCCCTTAGTTTTTGTCTTAATTTCTGTAAAACAGCACATTACCAGACTTTTTTGTACCACTGGTTGATATATATATATTCTGAAGTGTCTTCCCGTTCTGAGTTACTCATGCAGTGGAGAGTAAATGATTCAACAGTTCTTGGTGAGTGCAATTTCTATCCAGAAACATATTTAGCAACACCCAATAGTGGAGACAGATTGTGTAAGGTTGTGATCAGTCTTGTTTGCTATGGGATCCCTGGTTTGATAGGATCCTGCAGCTGAAATAGTAAAAAGGGCTATAATTCCCAAATTGGTGTGGAGAGTTCTATATATTTGTTCCCACATGGCACCCAGAAATTGCACTCCCCCCCAAAAAAAATCCTATTTGCATGCAATTACTTTTCAAGCTAAGTGATGCAGAATGGTTGTGAGGGGGAATGGACCGGGAGGAATTTTTGGCACAGCATTAGCTGACCCTTCCATTTCCCCATGCAGTCTCCCTCCCTCACTCTAACTTGAAGCCAGGCTGTTGACTCTTTGCTAGGAGAAAAAATAAAACAAGAATAAGTAAATGAGAAAAGAGTAAAATTATGCACTGAGAATGTGGATGGAGAAAAGCTTTTCTTCCTCTCTCATGACACTAGAACTTGAGGACATCCAACAAAATTGAGTACAGTGGTACCTCGGGTTACAGATGCTTCAGGTTACAGACGCTTCAGGTTACAGACTCCGCTAACCCAGAAATAGTACCTCGGGTTAAGAACTTTGCTTCAGGATGAGAACAGAAATTGTGTGGCAGTGGTGTGGCGGCAGCGGGAGGCCCCATTAGCTAAAGTGGTGCTTCAGGTTAAGAACAGTTTCAGGTTAAGAACGGACCTCCAGAACGAATTAAGTTCTTAACCCGAGGTACCACTGTACTGGAAGATTCAGGACAGATAAAAGAAAGTCCTTCTACATGCAGTGCATAGTTAAATTGTGGAACTTGCTGGCACTGGAGGCAGTAATGCTCACTAGCTTGAATGGCTTTAACGGAGAATTGGACAAATTCATTGAGTAGAAGACTACTAGTCATGGTGCCTATGCTCTGTCTCCATGGTCAGAAGCAGTCATGCTTCTGAATACCAGTTGCTGGAAGCCACAGGAGGGGAGAGGGCTCTGGCGTTCAAATCCTGCTACTTGGTTTCCCATTGGAGCATCTGTGAGAACAGGATGCTGGATGAGATGGGCCACGGGCCTGATCCAGCAGGGCTCTTCTTATATTCCTATATTCGTCTTCAGTTTTAAGTGGCAGCTCATGTTTGCTAGAGCATTTAGCTTTCCTGGTTCGCACCCTTCAAATTTTCTCCATGAGCATCTGAAGGCAAATTGTCATCCAGATTCCCTACAGGTCCATTTGTCTGCTTGCTTGAGTTTAGCACAGACTTTTCCCTGCAGCGCAATCTGGAACTGAGCTACTCTGGTGGGATTGCTAAGACTAGATCACAGCACAACTTTGCAGAGTCGCTGACAATTCTTTGGGTGCAGGGTGAACTTTTGTTTTGTTTTGCTACTGGAAAAGGAGAAGTGAAGTGCTGGTGGACATTCTCGCTTTGATGCACATCGATTGCCCGACACACCATTGTGACATTTCAGAAACATGTGCCTCAGAGGCCTGAAGGGGCCTTGAGATTAGGCCGCCAAATGAACACAGCTGGAAGCTGACCAAGTGTAACCTTCTGAATTCCTGGCAGATGGCAGTGCTGTAGGAATCTCAGAACCTGCAGAGAAAGGGATTCTGCCTGCCCAGCGAGCCAAGAACTGAAGGCCTCGTCAAAAATCAGAGTGTTTGGGGAGACAAGAGCGGCTGACACATTTTGCCTATAGGAAAATTCCAAGGAAATCTGGGATCACTTGGAAGACAGTAGAAAAGAAATTGGAAATATGGTCAGCATGGCTTGGGGAAATCACATTTACATATCTCTAAGCCACTAGATGACAAACCTAGACAGCAACTTAAAAAGTAGAGACATCACCTTGCCGACAAAGGTCCATATAGTAAAAGCTATGGTTTCCCAGTAGTGATGTATGGAAGTGAGAGCTGGACCATAAAGAAGGCTGATCGCCGAAGAATTGATGCTTTTGAATTATGGTGTTGGAGCAGACTCTTGAGAGTCCCATGGACTGCAAGAAGACCAAACCTCTCCATTCTGAGGGAAATCAGCCCTGAGTGCTCACTGGAAGGACAGATTGTGAAGCTGAGGCTCCAATTGTTTGGCCACCTCATGAGAAGAGAAGACTCCCTGGAAAAGACCCTGATGTTGGGAAAGATGGAGGGCACAAGGAGAAGGGGACAACAGAGGACGAGATGGTTGGATAGTGTTCTCGAAGCTACCAGCATGAGTTTGACCAAACAGTGAAAAACAGAAGTGCCTGGCATGCTCTGGTCCATGGGGTCACGAAGAGTTGGACACGACTAAACAACTAAACAACAACAACAACAAGCTACTGGATATTTTCCCAATTTAAAATGAAATTGAGATGGATTCGGATGGTTCTGCAAAGCATTTTGGGGTGTGGGGTGTGGTAATCAAAGGATCTCAAGATCTTTCTGAAAAGGCAAGTGAAGTGTGTCTTATGAACAGCCACCAATACATGCAATTCTTTCTCAAGCTTCTTTGCAGAGCAAATCTGAGAAGGTCCACCCATCACTAATGAAAAGTTGGATAAATGACAAGTAGCAGCACATGTTTTATGCTCATAAGCACTTTGGATTATGAGTAATCGAGTGTCTGACATATCCTTTATTTTTAGAGTTCCCCTAAGGAAAAATGTGTAAGCTTGAAAATATCCATATTGGTATTTTTAAGAAATGAAGTGGAAAGTGTGTTCCATGAATAATTCATGTGCTGAAATGCAGCCCACCTCCCAAATTCTTTCTTTTTCCCCCAGGAGAGCCTGTGAAAATCGGGCAGGGGGAAGCACCACACATTCAGACTGATGTCAGGAAGTATATTGCCTGGGTTCTTATTTGGCTTCTGGATTATCCTCATATGGACATTCCATTGTCGGGAACTATTGTTGCAAGCATACATAGCTCAGTCGATAAAGCATGAGACTCTTAATCTTAGGGTCATGAGTTTGAACCCCACGTTGGACAAAAGATTCCTGCATTGCAGGGGGTGGAATAGATTTTTTTAAAAAATTATATTTATTGAGAATTTAAAATTACAGAAAGAGAAAGGAAAAGGCAAGAAAAAAGAAAAGGAAAAAAGTATACAAAAAAGAGATTAAACAATATAATTCAATAAAAACAAAAGTAAAAAAAAACCACACAATACATCAGAATAAAAAAAAAAACAAAAATAAACAAAAAATTTAAAAACAAATCCAATATTCCCAAATCCTTATCTTTCATTAACTTTTTTCATCGACCTCCTCACACCTCCCTTTTTTGTATTCTAGTTATTAATTATCTCAGCAAATCCTTTCCATCTTTCACAATATTCTGTCATTAAATTACCTTAATCTATTTTAACCTTATCTTACCATAAAAAACCCTAAAGCTTAAAACTTAAATCTTATTTATACCTAATTCTTTTAACAAAACATATTTATACATAATTCTTTTTAACATTTCTACTAAAGCCAAATAGTTTCATTCCAACATTTTTCTAATACTCATTAATTTTACAATGATTTTCTAAATGAATTTTTAAAACTTTCTTCCAATCTTCATCCGTCGTCTCTTCTTCCTGGTCTCGGGTTTTGTCAGTCCTTTCTGTTCCATCCATCTAGTCCATCAACCTGGTGACCTTCTATCCGAGGCTCTTAAGTCTTTTCCATGTCCCTTCTGCAGGTCTTCTTCATGTTTATACCTGCACTTTACTTTATCTTCTGCTGATCTTATTCTTAATTTCCTTCCTTTCTCTCGGGGAGACTCCAACTTGACAATATCTTTATCCCTTCTCGACAAGTCAGCCCATTCTCCATAGTCGACACTGAAATCCAAAAGATATTTAAAGGCATGTTTCAAAGTCCCTCCAAGATTAAGGGCCCCCACAACTCCGAACTCCCCCTGGCCCAAAGCCAGATCCGAAAAGTCAAAACATCCCTGCATAGGGGGATCTATCCAACTTCCCAACTCCAGACCAAACAGTACTCCATCTCTCCAAATCTGACTTTCTCCAGGTTCAGTCGTCAAAGACAGCAACTTATGTTCCTGCAAGGCCGCAGCTCTCTCCATTTCTGGTACTTGAGGTTCAGCAACTACCTCCTCCTTTATCTTCTTCACCACTTGCTCTGTCAAAGCACATTCCTGGATTGATTCCTGAGTGGTTTATATATAAGTATTCACTGTTTGTCCAAAATTTCCAACTGCAACAGTCATCAAATCCATCTTCTCATGTAGCTGTTCCAGTAAAGCACTTGTCTTGCAAAAAGCAAGCACTAAAGCTTCTTCTGGGCACATTCTTGTTCAAGGTCGGTGTCTAGTTCCCACGATCTTTTATCTCTACAGCTGTAGAATTCCCCAGATCGACTCCAGCAACAGTTTCACAAGCTCCCTCTAGAGGAAACAATTTCTATTTGTATCCGTCTTTTTAAAAGCAGATCTAGCAACAAAGTTCCTTTCGTTTTCCAGATATTTTGTTCCTTTTAAGTGCAAAAGGGAACATTGGAATCAATATGTTTCTCTTTTTTAACTATCTGTCAAAGACGTTTTGTCCACAGTCAATGAGCTTTCCCAAAGTGTCTGTCTCTGACACCCCGCTCCCAGGATCAAGATGGTGGAAATTTATCTTTCTTTACTCTCTCTTCTGCAGGTTTAAGCAGTCTAAAAAGATTCCCCCCTCCTCTCCTGCTTCCAAGGGGGGTTTATTGATTTTAACTGATGGAAATTTAGTCCTTTACAAACGACTTTCGAGACTCTAGCTTGCAATGTCTTTGCTTCAATCTATTTACAAAAGCGGAAGGCGGACTTCCTGTTTAGACCTTCCTGCTTCGGTGCCAAATTAAAAAGTTTCTTAATCCAATTTTCCGTTCTACTCAAGGGCAGTTGTTTAAAATCTAATTATCCACAGGAAAAAGTCAGCGCTCTCCGGCAACAGCAATGCGGCTTCACTCCGTGAAAAAAGCAGTCGATTCAAAGCACCGCGCCATTCACCCCACGTTGCTCCGGATCCCCGAAACCGGGTTTCCCCGCGAGTAGGGGAGGCGCAAAAGGTGCCAGCCGAATCCCACGTCCACAGGCTTCTCCCGCCTGTGGTTTTTAATGGGTCTCCGCCTCGCCGCAGCGGTCCAGACCCTAGTTCTCACGAAGCGGATTCCTCCTGGTCAGAGGAAATCTGCCATTGCCGGAGGCGCTAACCCAGAAGTCCCTGCAGGGGGTGGAATAGATGGCCCTTGTGGTCCCTTCCAACTCTACAAGTCCATGATTCTAAAGCACCCCAGTCTCTGAGTGGTGTGAGATTCTAGAGGTCCCAGGAACCCACCCAAGATTCTGTTTCCTTGGAATGAGGGACAGCAGAGGCTGTGATGTCTTTATGATATATGGTTTATTTACACTTATATACAACCTGCGCCTACAGCATTAACCCCCCAGGAGGTCTTGCTTCTCCCATAGTAACAGCCTTGGATTCCAACAGAAATCAAGCATGGCTCTCTCGCTCTCTGTCTTCTGCCAGCAGCCTGCTTCTAGCTCAGCTCACATACACTCTATTTTAGCTATTGCCCTTCTCACTACCAGCCAGGTGAGGGACAGGAGCCACCCATTTGCCCTCTGGCACAAAGCACCTTCATGTCTTATATTAAGGAGCCATAGTTAGGAGCCATTATGGCCCTTGCCTGGCTAATTCAACAGTGGGATCCTCCGTTATATTTCAACCCCTGCTGGATCCAGCAATTAGAAGTGACTCAGGCATCATACAAGTTTGTCAGGGAGAATATGGAGGAGCAAGTGACAGAAGAGGCGGAGCAGGGGTTCAGGGATGCTGTGGAGCCCTTCAACTGCCCAGAGGCTCAGGAAGGGAACTCAGAGTATGGAAGGGAGGAGACTTTCAAATCAGCACAGACAAGGAGCGAAGAAGAAGAAGAAGAGGAGGAGGAGGAGTTTGGATTTGATATCCCGCTTTATCACTCCCCTTAAGGAGTCTCAAAGCGGCTAACATTCTCCTTTCCCTTCCTTCCCCACAACAAACACTCTGTGAGGTGAGTGGGGCTGAGAGACTTCAAAGAAGTGTGACCATATTGTCAGGAAAGCGCTGTTTAATGTTTGGATAAGATATAAGGATTTGTTAGAAAACAAAACCCCAAGGTGGCTGTCACCAATGGAAGTGAAAGCCTTGAAAAAGCTCAATATGGAGGTCAATTGGCCGAAATATTGGGAAATTTTGGAACAAGATGGAGATAGACTGAAATTGCAGAGCTTTGAAAAACTAAAAAACAAAGTGCGAGACTGGCTTCATTATTTTCAGATAATGGAGGCATTTAAATTGGACAAGAAAATTGGCTTCCAGGTGGAAAGATCAAAATTAGAAACTGAACTGTTAGAACCCAAAACCAAGAATTTGTCAAGAATGTATAACTTGCTGCTGAAATGGAACACTCAGGATGAAACGGTAAAATCGGCTATGATTAAATGGGCACAAGACGTTGGACATAACATTATGTTTGTTGACTGGGAACAGTTGTGGACCACAGGTATGAAATTTACGGCATGTAATGCCTTAAGAGAGAATATTATGAAAATGATATACAGGTGGTACATAACCCCAGTCAAGCTTGCAAAAATCTATCACTTGCCCGATAATAAATGTTGGAAATGTAAAGAAACTGAAGGTACATTTTTTCACCTTTGGTGGACGTGCCCAAAGATTAAGGCTTTCTGGGAAATGATATATAATGAATTAAAAGGTATTCAAATATACCTTCCCCAAGAAACCAGAGGCCTTTCTCTTGGGCATGGTCGGCCAAATGGTGATAAAAAAGGATAGAACTTTCTTTATGTATGCAACAACAGCAGCAAGAATACTCATTGCAAAGTATTGGAAGACACAAGAACTTCCCACGCTGGAGGAATGGCAGATGAAACTGATGGACTATATGGAACTGGCGGAAATGACTGGTAGAATCCGTGACCAGGGAGAAGAGTCGGTGGAGGAAGATTGGAAGAAATTCAAAGATTATTTACAGAAACACTGCAAAATTAAAGAATGCTAGAGTGATGTTGGATTGAAAATAAGTGGTTTCCAGCTGTACAGGATTTAAAGTTATAGATAGACTAAGATTAAAGATTAGGATTAAAGAAGTTTAAGGAAATGGAAATTTGGTATTTAAGAGGTAAAATTTTAATGCTATATTATATTAAGATTAAAGATTGGGATTAAAAAAGTGGGAAAGAAATTGCTGGACAAACAATTTGAACTGGAATACAAAAGAGGGAGGTATGAGGAGGTCCAGAAAATAAGTAAATTTAAAAACGGAAATGAAAAGGTGATATTGTTTTTAAATGTTCTGTTTCTTTCCTTTTTTGTGTTTTTTTTCTTTTTTGGATAATGTATTGTGTATTTGTGTATTTCTTTTTTATGTTTTTCTGTTTAACTTTCTACTGAAACCTTAATAAAAATCATTAAAAAAAAACAACAAACAAAGAAGTGTGACTAGCCCAAGGTCACCCAGCAGCTGCATGTAGAGGAGCGGGGACTCAAACCCAGTTCACCAGATTACGAGTCTACCACTCTTAACCACTACACCACACTGAAACGTAAGGATCAAGGCATCTCACACGATTCCCACACCTCCTTTGTTGGTGGGGGAATCGAAGGAAGCCGCTCCCCAAATCTGACTCAATGGGTTCGGACGCATAATCCTGAACTGTATCTGTTTCTTGTACATATGTAATAAAGACTGTAAATACCAAGCTGACTGTGTCGGGGTGTTAATGCGAAGGGGAGACACCACCTTTACAAAGCTAAACTGTCTCTGCCCAAACTCACAACAATATATTTGGAATAGTGGCAAGGCTTCCTGCCCTGACTCTGATTTAGCCTGGTGATGTAGGCCACAGATATTGCAAAGCTAAGAAGGCAGCGTTCCCATGGGCTCATAATACTTACCTTCTGGATGAGTGAGCACATTTTTCCCTAGTCTGGACTTTTAATCTGAAGGACCAAATTACCTTGAGGGGAAGGGAGGGACAAGAAAGAAGCTTGAGGAACAGTCCCATCCAGCTTCCAAAGTAGAGTCATAAAATTGTAGAGTTGGAATCTTTTTGCCCTGTGTGGGGTTTGAACCCACAACCTTGAGATTAAGAGTCTCGTTCTCTGCCAACTGAGCTATCCCACCCAACCCTCCCTTGGCTGCCACCAGAGGAGTGTTTAAAGGTTCGTCCTGCCCTGAAGGGAGAGGAAGTAATAACAGCTTTTTTCTAAACAAACAAGTTGTCCTTTCCATTCTATTCAAGGAGGGCTGGGAAAATGTCCTCTGACTGAAAGCTAGTTGGACCAGTGGTCTGACTTGCTCCAAATTCCTATGTCCCAGGCTCCAGCCCCAGCATCTCCCAGTAGGACTGGAAATGTCCCCTGACTGAAATCCTGGACAGCAGCTGCTGGTCAGTGCAGACAGTACTGAGTTAAATGGACCAATGGTTGGACTCCGTATAAGGTGGCTTCCTCCTGTGTGCCTAAAACAGAGCTCACAATCCTTTCCCACAAAAATCCATTCCTGGCTTTCCCCCAGATGTGTTTCTGCAGCCTAAAGTAAGGAGGAAAGCCTTTGAGCTGTTGCTGTTGCCAGCCAGTTGGGAGTCAGAAAGCCATGCTGATCCATCACAAAGCAGAGAGAGTTATAGCAACAGATTCCCACCCAATTCTGCTCACTCCTGGTAAAGGGTGCAAAAATTCAGTGTGTAGACTAAACATTGTGAAGCTCTCTCTGACAGTAAGAAATATTTAACAGTGGAATGGACTCCCTCGAAAGGTGGTGGGCTCTCCATCACTGGAGGTTTAAAAGAAGAGATTGGGTGGCCATGTGTCAGGGATTCTTCAGTTGTGATTCCTGCATTGCAGGAGGTTAGACTAGCTGAACCTTGGGGGTCCCTTGCAGCTGTACAGTTCTATGATTCTATGACAGGAAGTGGATTGCACCGGCTGCCATGGGAAGGAGAGGATTTTAACATCATTCCTCACGCTTGCACAGAGCACAATGCAGAAGGGCAAAACACTGCCAAAAGGAGAGAGGGATCTTTATGCAATTGGATGTGCGATTACACGAAAGTGGAATTGAATGAAGTGGGGACAGTGATTTATCATGGACAGGGATGGATAAAACTGTCAAATTCTGTTTCAGTTTCTCATTGTTAATTTTCAGATCACTTTCACATCAGCTTGCATTTCCCCCCCTGGAATAAAAGTCCTCTCTAAAACATATCAGCCTTTTTGTGAACATTTTTTTTCTAATGTACACATTTTGTTTGAGCAAGTACTTTTAATGCATTTTTGTATGTCATTTGCAACAATATCTGCATTTTAATGCACACTTTACACTAAGATGTGCAAAAAAGGGTATTATTTGGATGGAGAACTACACAGCAAAATGTGAGAGGCAGTGTGGTGTAGTGGTTAAAATGTCAGACTAGGAGCTGCGAGACCAGGGTTCAAATACCTACTCAGCCATGAAGCTGAATAAAGTGTGAACATTGAATGACAGCTGCATTTTGATGTGCACAGAACCTTGGAGTGTGAATTAGGTGGGTTCAGAATAAAATACAAACTAAACCAAAGTTCCCCATTTGTCGCTCAAGCTATGCTGAATCAGGATTTATTTTGTTTATTTTTAAAAAAATTACCTCCTAAAATGATTTGCTTCTAATTATCTTTTTCCCCCTCCAGTTTACTCTCTCCACCCCCTTGTTCTCTCCACCATGACTCAGCTGGAAACTTCTGAGTAGGAATACATAACTGCTTAGGTAAAGGTAAAGGGACCCCTGACCATTAGGTCCAGTCGTGACCGACTCTGGGGTTGCGGCGCTCATCTCGCTTTATTGGCCGAGGGAGCCGGCGTACAGCTTCCAGGTCATGTGGCCAGCATGACTAAGCTGCTTCTGGTGAACCAGAGCAGCGCACAGAAACGCCGTTTACCTTCCCGCCAGAGTGGTACCTATTTATCTACTTGCACTTTGACGTGCTTTCGAACTGCTGGGTGGGCAGGAGCTGGGACTGAGCAACAGGAGCTCACCCCATGGTGGGGATTCGAACCGCCGACCTTCTGATCGGCAAGTTATGTCCCACATAACTGCTTAGGACATGGCAAAAGTGTGCAGGAAGGGGTGAGCAAACATAAAGCATGGGTCCTCAGCAGAAAACAAATCTGTGATTCATGCAACTACCTCTGGGGTGGGGAGCTTTTAAAAAAATGAGACCTTCCTATACAGTTAGAAGGCATTGTTTTCTTTGTAGCAACTGGGACACAATGTAAAAATGGACCTTACAAGTGCTGCAGGACAAAACACTCCTCAGAAATTGTTCTCGAATTGGCTTAGAATTAAACAAGTCATTTCCTCCAGAAAACTGAGAAATAGCTCTTCTCGTTCCAAGCCAATTTGAGTTAAACCAGGAAGCAGTTGCACAACTAGGGCCCAATTCACCTCACCATGAGCTCCCAAAAAGATGTATTTCTGAAGGAGAGCCAGTGGTGGTGTAGTGAGTAGATCAAACTAGGACTTGGGAGAGACCAGGGTTTGAATCCCCATACTCAGCTTTGAAGCTCACTCAGTGATCTTGGGGGCTAGTCACTGCCTCTCAAGCTAATCCACGCCACAGGGTGTTTGGGGGGATTAAATGAGAGGGGGGGGGAGAGAACCATATACAACACCTTGAACTGCACAAGAGAGAAAAAAGTGGGATAAAAATGCAATGACTAAATTAAAAGATGGCACTCCCCATAGCTCCTGGCATCTGGCTTTCTACAATAGAAGCATGAATGCCAGGATCTCAGAGGAGGTAGGGGGTGGATACCTCCCTCTTTTCCTTTCTCCCATCAGCACCAAAACAGCAGAAGGACTAATGTAGGTGGATGGGTAGGAAACTGAAATAATCAATTGCATCTGTCCTCATCCTGCTCTTTCCTGGACTAGCCAAGCAGTTCCAAGCAGACATGTGGAAATCCTGGTATAGGGCTGCCCAGAGGCTCAGTAAGGGCAGGAGAGGATGCAGAATAGCATCTTTGGAACTCTTTGGTGCCTAATACAGTCATTTAATATTGCAGAGAAAAGGAAGATCTTTGGGTGGTAGTGAGCAACAACAAATCCTGTTTCCACTCTGCTGTGACCCAGCTTTGGGCCTCCTGATGTTGCTCAAATGCCACCGGCATCACCCCAGACCAAACTTGCTAGGGACAGTGAGATGCAGTTCAGCAACAACTGCAGGGCCAAAGGTCCTACACTCCTCGTTGTAACTTGCTAAAATAAATGAAAACCAGTTCAACACTTTTCTTTTAAAGCCTGCTGTGGGTTCTGGAATTTGGGGCGTGAGTTTATGCCCACTCCACTTGGCCCTCACTAGTTCCCCATTTATTTATTAGAAGTCCCTGTTTTCTATGCATGATACAGACCCCTATTCTCTGCTTTGCTCAGCTTTTCTGAAATCCCAGTCCAAGAAGAGGAGGAGGACAAGAGCTTGCCTTAGGACTTTCCTGCCATTTGAAGTCTCCCATTTGCTGTCCTGAAATGGTCCCTGTCTGATGCAAAAGAAAATATTTGACTTCCCTCTGATAGATCTGTCATTTTCCTCCCAGTAATTTGTCCTGTTGACCTGCAGACCTTTAATTTCCAAGCTCTTAAGACCCAATTTCCTATGCAATGCTCCTGAGAAATGAAGTAACTTTCAAAGACTAATTTGTTTGTTTATGCCTTTTCCTTTAACCGGCCTCACTCTCTCCAAATGGCAGAAGAGAGGCACGGAAACAGGGAGACAGAGAGAGAGAGAGAGAGAGAAAGAGAGCGTTGTCTGTCATTTTATTGTTGCAATTTCTCTCTGCCACGTCCTTTCCTGAAAAGGCACATAAATCCTACTCCCATAAGCTGCAATTTAGCAGGAAGGGAACATAAGCTGTATTTACGCAAGACAACTGCCGTTTACTGATAAAATGTAAAGTTGCCATGTCCCTCCCTTGCGGACAGAGTGCAGCACCATTTGGAAAGTCACTGTTACATAGCCTCGACTTTGAGCCGGAGATAGTCATGGGGTGCTTTGAGCCACCAAAGGTCGTGGGGATGGAAAACTTTATTTTGACAGTGCATCAAGTCTGGTTGAGTCTCTAGCACCTAGTCCTCCATGGTTAAAAGATTCAGAAAAAGGAGACTCCACAGAGCGCCACACCAGTCATCCTACTGCAACCTTGACTCGTTTCCCTCTGTGTTACAGGCACCACATAGTACCTGTTCTGCATTTGTAAGAAATCAATTTTTTCATGTGGCAGCACCTAGACTTTGGAAATCCCCACCTAGTGACATCAGGCAGACACCTTCACTGTACTCCTTTAGGAACCTGCGAGAAGCCTACCCAGATATTTCAGACGCTGATGTGGTTTTCATTTATTGCTGTTTTTTAATGTTTTAATGATTATTATTTTTTACTAATAATCTTGCCATTTTACTCATTTTGGAAACCTCTTTGAGTTTTTCTGCAACTGAGCAGTATATAGATCTTATGAAATAAGCAATATCCTTCATGCAATTGAACAATTCAAATGCTTATGGCTCTGCCATCACTTTTCCAGCACTTGAAGGCTCTATCCCACTTTCTGTATTCATAGACTCTATAACTAACTGCCCTCCACTGATTTAAGAGCGCAATTGTTCAGAACATAAGAAGAGACCTGCTGAATCAGACTGAGGGCCTGCCGCCCCCTGCGTTCTGTTCCCAAATTTGCCGATGAGATGCCTTTGGGAAGCACAGCAACACCAGACAGCAGTAGCCCCCTTCCACTCTGATCCTGGAGGTAACATACAGCCTTCAGGACTAGTAGCCATTGCTCATCCCCCCAGGATTGGGATTGGGACCTAAACTTTTAAACTTGTCCATAAATGATTTAGAGTTAAGTGTGAGACGTGCTATAGCCGAGTTTCCTGATGGCACCATATTGGCCAAGGTGGTTGAAACAAAAAAGGACTGCAGGGAACTCCAAAATAATCTCCCCAAACTGCGTGGATGGGGAGTAAGAAGGCAAATGCAACTCAATGAAAGGAATCTAGAATGAGTAATCTAGAAATGGAATGAAGAAAATAAATAATAGTTCCTAATTTTGGCATTTGTGTAACAACTGGCTGGGACAGACTGGCTGGTTTCCAAGGGAAAGGTATGCACCTCACACTGTTTTTGGAGTTTTTAAAAGGACACCCTTGGCCTTCCGCCTTGACAATGAGAGCCTCCAGTTGCTTGCCCAAATGTTTGTGCCTGGAAATCAAGGATGGAGAGCTTTGCTTTCAGCTCTCAGTTTGCAGTGAAATATGGATTGGATAAGAGAGGAATAAATCAGACAAGGTTTCCAGGGAATTGCAGCACTCTTGTGACACAGTTTGACACACCGAACTTGGTCTGTCTCATCGGCTCCTCGCACTCGAGATGGAAATTAGCAGGCTCGTTAAGGCAAAGAGGTTTCTCCTGCCTTGGTTCTCTGGAGTGCAAGGCTGTCATAGCAGAAGCAATCAGGGAGATGTGGTAGAAGTGTGTGCTGGAGGCCCAGGTGCAAATAAGGATGGGACTGTCTATGAGACGCAGCTCCGTTTTATGTCTCCTCCACCTGTGTCTCTCCCAGGCAGATGTGGATGGTGTAAAGCAGGGGTGGTGGGAGAAATAGATCTCCACCATTCCTTGTGGAGCCAGGTTTGACAGGTGGGCAGGGTCACCCACCTTTCTATCCCCTGACACCCCAATGACATCAAGTTCCCTTTGTTGCCCATGAAGGTCTTGAGAATGATTCAAAGTTCTACCTCTGAAAGTGCTTCTTCACACAGGGCATCATAGTTAGACTATGAAACTTGCTTCCATAGGAGGCAGCGAGGACCACCAACTTGGATGGCTTTAAAAGAGGATTGGGCAGATTTATGGAGGAGAAAGGTATCCATGGCTCTTAACCATGATGGCACTGCTCTGCCTCTACAGTTGGAGGCAGTGATGCTTCTGAATACCAGTTGCCGGAAAATGAGGAGAGTACTCAGGTCAGAACTAAAACTCCCATAATCCCTGGTCATTAACCATGCTTGTTACAATTAATGGGAGTTCACCAATATATGGAAAGCCAAAAACTCTCTACCCTTGAAAAGTATCAGTTAGGTAAAGGTAAAGGTACCCCTGACCATTAGGTCCAGTCACGGACAACTCTGGAGTTGCACTCTCATCTCGCTTTACTGGCCAAGGGAGCCGGCATTTGTCCGCAGACAGCTTCTGGGTCATGTGGCCAGCATAACTAAACCACTTCTGGCAAACCAGAGCAGTGCACGGAAACACCGTTTACCTTCCTGCCGGAGTGGTACCTATTTATCTACTTGCACTTTGACATGCTTTCGAACTGCTAGGTTGGCAGGAGCTGGGAACAACAGGAGCTCACCCTGTTGCAGGGATTCGGCAAGCCCTAGGCTCTGTGGTTTAGACCACAGCGCCACCCACGCCCCTATCAGTAGAACTGCATTAACCCATTTTGGGCCAAACTGTCCCTAGTCACAGAACAGCCACTTCTGTCTTAAAAATTCTATCAATGCAGACCCTCCAAGTGTCCCTATTTTCCAGGGACTGTCCCTGATTTACAGAAGCTGTCCCGGTTTCTGATTTGATCCCAGAATGCCCTGCTTTCCCCCTATTTTCACTTGAGAAATGTTGGTGGGTATGTCAATGGCTACCAGTCAGGATGGCTATCCTGAATACCAGTTGCTGGGAACCACAGAGGGAGAGAGTGCCCTTGTGCTTGAATCCTGCTTATGGGTTTCCCATTGGGGCATCTGCTTGGCCACTGTGAGATCAGGATGCTGGACTAGACGGGACATTGGCCTGATCCAGCAGGGCTCTTCTTACGTTCTTAAAACCTTCTTTAAAATTACAATCGAAGAGTGCGGCTTCCCCTCACCTTCGGTCTAAATGGGATTTTGATTCGGCCTCAAAGATAACTTGCAGAATAATATATACAATAGTTTTAGCATTCATAACCGTTCTTTATTAACTCAGAAACTGACAATTTAGTTCCAGGCTTTCCTGACAGCCTGGTCTGGAGAAAGAAGTAAAGCACTTTCTTTTTCTTTTCTTTTTTTCCCTTTCCCCCAGCCTTGGCAGTTCTGTATAATTTACAATGTTGCCCTCAGAGTAAAAGAAATTGCCCTTGAATGTTGGCAAAGTGCTCCCTTCCTGTAACTGTGCAGCAAATAGCAGCCTGCGAGACCCTCTGGTCTAGTCTTCCGTCAGGCGCGGTGATTTGTATTCCGACAAAAATTACATGGCGCGCGTGTGACTGAACTGCCGGTTTCGAGTTTAACATCCTCTCTCCCTCCCCCCCCTCTCTCTCCCCCCCCATCATGATAACACTTGGTACTAGAAGTGCTTTTCCAACCTCCACTGATAGTATGTGGAGTGGCATTTCCAGCGAAAAGTGTGAGACAAGATTCATTACAGGCAGAGAATAAAATGTCAAACATTTTATCAACTCTGTAAAGTGGTGTGCCAGAGATGCTCCTCTCCCCCCCCCAGCCCAACTCAAAGCTTGATTAAAATGACAAGTGCTTCCTTAATATGAATATTAGATATTCTCTCCCTTACACAAACACACACACACACATTCTTTCTCTCTTCCTTGGCAGCTTATTGGGCAGAGTCACTATGCAAGGGGAGAGGGCATCATAGCATGTGGCATTGGCTTGAAATTCAGCTTCTCAAAAATCTCAACTTGGGTTTTTTAAAAAAATTAGTCACTATCCTTCATGTTTGCAGAACACCATAATGCATAAAAAGCAAATGCCTTCTTAGTCCTTAAAGTTGAAAACATTCATAAGTTAGCTTTCCTATAATCCCAGATTTGTTTGTTGAAAAAGTAAATTTATTTCATTCTTAATTAATGAGTACAGGGAATTAACATCATTTGAGGTTGTTTATGATGGCTTAAATCCCTCTGTCTGACTAATCAGAGAACAGGTGATTGGCTTCTGGTCTAACAAAAAAGCGTAGTTACTTCAGTTGTCAGTCCTTTTCTTTGGTCTTGAGTTTTGTTTGTTTATCCAATGAAAAAATAATTCTAGGACTGCAAAGCTCCACTTGCCAGAGTGTGAGTGATGACAAGTGACATTTCAGGATATCATAGAATTGTAGAGTTGGAAGGTACCATGAGGGTCATCTAGTCCAACCCCCTGCAATGCAGGGAACCTCTGCCCAACGTGGGTGTCAAACCCACTACCCTGAGATTGAGAGTCTCATGCTCTGCCAAATGAGCTTGTCCATATTTATATTACATTTTTAACATTTGTATTCCACCCTTCATCCGTGGATCTCAGGGTGGTTTAGAAGACAGAGGAACAGCCGGATACAGCGTTCAGTATCCTCCCCTCACTTCATCACTAGCAGAAACTCAGGATCTCACTTGTGGAAGCCACAGTAGATGGCTGGGTGGAGTCCTTGGTCCAGCTGTTCACAGGTGCTAGTGATATATGTAACAGTGGGTCAAATATCCCTCCTTTGTGGACCCTCCATGAAGGCTGGATAGGGTTTTTTTGAGGGGAGTGATTTTTGAGGGGGAAAACCACTGGTGCTGGATGGTTTGATGAGGTCCAAAAAAATGGAGACTGGGTCCTAAGAAGATTGAGGCACATGTGCTGGGCAGTTCCTGTGTTCTGGTGCTGGGTCCACAACTTGCTTGAGATCCTGGGATTGTTTGACTGCTGCTTTCTTAGAAATTATGCACCAGTGGTTTGCAAGGAGAGAGTCGAGACAGCCCCGGACAGATGCTGCGCACAGCTCTCCATCCAAGCAGAATCCCACAAGACGTAGCCAGAATCCAAGTGCAGTTCAGCTTGCTAAATGATGACAGCAAAGTCGTCTCCTGCTCTAACTTCATTTGCACCTGAAAAGGGAGGGTGTGAAGAGTGAAGGGCACCCTGGATTATCGGTAGGCTGTGTGAAAAACATAAATATATTCACAGCAATGCATCTCATTCAGCCTGCTGTGGCATTCAAGGCTGCCTTATTCCAGGAAAGCACAATTGTAAAACAACTCAATTCACCATGGATGGGGACCCTCTGGCTCCTTTCCAGACCACACCCCTCACTGGACCTGTGCTCTTGCCTAGGGTAGCCTTTTTCCAGCTGGAATTTTCCTATGAACTGTAACAATGCTTTTTGCTAGCCTGGGTGGAGGATAACTATGTGTGGCTATGTGCAGAAACCTCTTTATGCCTCACTGCAATGTAGCCCAGTGTATGAGTTATTTAGCCCCATTGCTCTGCTCACTTTTGCCTCTGGCTACAGCCATCCTGGGTAAGTGACCTCTGGAAGGTTGCCCACAAAGGAATGCAGCCACCAAGGCTCATTATAAATCCAGTCAAAGAATTGTTGAAAGGGACTCCCAAAGGTCATCTAGTTCAGCCCCGGCCATGCAGGACTCATAGATAAATAACCCCTCATAGATGCCCCCCCCAAACGGCTGTAGAAGAGAATACTCATTTAGAAATAAATCCTGTTGCATTCCGTGGGGCTTACTCCCAGGTAAGTGCATAGAACCAGATGCGGGGAGCCTTTTTCAGGCTGAGGGCCACTATCCCTTCAAGGTGAACTTCTGAGAGCCACATACCAGGCCAGAGGCTGAAGTAGGCAGAGCAATGAATGGTGGTGAAGAGGCCATCTCACTGAGGGAATTATTGACCTTTAAAGGCTGTGAATCAAGACCTGAAAACCAACACATGCCTTTGGTGGAGGAAATGCTTTAATTTATGGTGTGTGGAAACGTGATTGGCTGTCATAAAAAGTCCATTTAGCAACGTCAGGGTAAGAAACAATGTAGTGAAGCTTGTCACACTTGACCCTACAGTCGTACGGACCCTGTGGTGACAACTTTCAGAAGGTCAAAATGCAGGAACAAGAATCAATCCAAGATCAGTTCCAGCTTTGGATCTGGGGAGGGGATCTGTAGGAGAGGAGACTTAAACCAAGAACTTTCCAGATCTGAGCAACGGTGCCCTCTTGTGGAAAGCAGCTCAGGACCACAAAATGGACCGAGATGCAGGATTGTCCACTCAAAATTGCTCCATCCTCCACATGGCCTGCTGTTTCACCCTGACCAGGAAAGCTTCAAGTAAATCTGTGTGGAAGTTTCTGCAAGGGCAGCCTTCCCAATTAACATCGGAGGATGGGAGGCACTGCAAAGCATTGAATAGTCCTTGAGGTTTTCTGATTGTTGTTGTTAGTATCCGTCTGTCTTGAAGTGCACCTCCAGGGGTGAAGACAAATCACTGTGTTGGCAGCTTTGAAGTGGCCTTCCTGAGGTGCAAGTCTGGGCAGTATGGATGGTGGTCGTGAGCTGCCCAGATGATAAGACACCCCCCCCAGCCTTGCTGATGTGCTCCAAAGGAAAGCAGAGTAATGTTTCGCACCAGCTCGACTGCAGGAATTGCCTGCAAGGCACCATCCAACTCTCTTAGGGTCTCCACTCTGGATTTCTGTAGGATTTGCTCCCTAGCCTTTTATTCTCCTGAAGACATTCCACAAGGCACTGGTGGTTTAGGTTCAGAGTTTTCCTTCTCCTAGATCATGGGCTACTTTCCCAGGTTGATGAGCCCTTTACTTCCCTCTACAGTGTGGGCAGTAACCACCTTCAGTAACCACCTTCTTGACCATTGGACCCACTACTAGTCTCATCTGCTCAATCCTGGCACCAAGCCATTTATGGTAGAAGTGAGACAAATTTCTCAGCAAAACTCTCCCCCCGCCCCTGAGATTCTCCCCTCTTATGATTCCCAGCTATGTGGAAGCAGATTGTAGGCATCACAATTAGTAGCCAATTTCTACCCTTGGTTCTAGTCCTGCCCTCTTTGGGTGACAGAGGACTCAGCTATACAGCTGCAAATAAATGTTTTAAGTGTGTTGCAAAGTGCATTGTACAAATGCGACAGTAGATGGCGATGGTGAGCTACGGCAAATTCTATGTATTTTTCAGAACTTTTTTTTAAAAGCATTTTCATGTTTTTTATAGGTGTCTAGATTCCACCAGAGAACAAGCCTACTCCATCTTCTGCATGGCAGATACGTCCGGGGTAATGTCATAATTCTACTTTATCTCTTGTTTTCCAGGCTGAACAAGTCCAAGCCTTTCAACCTTTTCACAGAGGAACCAGTTCTCATATGTCTCCCCACTTGGCAGTCCCCTCCTCCACTTGGTCAACATTCCTCTTAAAGTGGGGCAGGGGGAGGGAATGATTGGACATAAGAACATAAGAGGAGTCTGCTGGATCAGGCCAATGGCCCATCTAGTCCAGCATCCTCTTCTCACTGTGTCCAACCAGATCCCTGTAGAAGAAGAAGAAGGAGAAGAAGAAGAAGAGGAGGAGGAGTAGTTTGGATTTGATATCCCACTTTATCACTGCCCGAAGGAGTCTCAAAGTGGCTAACATTCTCCTTTCCCTTCCTCCCCCACAACAAACACTCTGTGAGGTGAATGAGGCTGAGAGACTTAAGAGAAGTGTGACTAGCCCAAGGTCACCCAGCAGCTGCGTATGGAGGAGAGACGCGAACCCGGTTGACCAGATTATGAGTCTACTGCTCTTAACCACTACACCACACTGGCAGGACCTGGGCACAAGAGCCCTCTCCCCTCATGTAGCTTCCAGCAACTGCTCTTCAGAAGCATAACTCCCTCCAGCCATGGAGGCAGAGCATAACCATAATGGCTTGGGAAGCTCTCCTGGTTTTTTCCCTTAGCCCTCTGTGGGTTTCTTCTGCCAAATGGGACAAGGCATTGGCACGGACGCCCTGGGAGCCTCATGAGCAAACACCATCCACCCCCTCCTCTTTGCTTGCGACGGAAGCACCCTCAAGGCTTGGCATTTCCTACGGAGCCTAATTTTCACTTTCCAGGCAAGTTGTGAGCCCACGTGCCATCCTGAATGATTAATCTGGATGCTCCTTAATAGGGAGCGGCATCATGCTGCTCTCCTCTTCAGTAACCAAATGATTGTCTCCCCATAGCGAAGACTTCTTGACTTCCTCTGAACCCCCTGGGTAAGCAGTGCTAAGCACGCCCCTTGTTTGGAGAGCCTCCCTCTTCAAAAGCCTGCAGCTTAAGTAGAAACAATTAAATTATTTTTTCAGCACCTGCCAGGCCTGTGGCACTGCTGAAGTGGAATTGTGTTGTATGGCGAGGAGATTGTTTTTAATTACATATTGGAGGGGTTTGGGGGGTGGGAGGAGGGGAGGAGATGAAGAATTCCCGGCTGACGTTCACGAAAACGAGGGCTGTAATTGGCCGGCTTTATCAGGCAGCTCACACAGTCTTGTCCTGTCCATACAGGATTTCTATTTGCTTGTGTGTGCGGTGGAAGGGGGGGGGAGGAACTCGCCCATGCAGAGCTATCTGGCAGCATAACAGAAAGCAAGGAGTTTTGCTCAAATTTGGCTGGGACAACCACACTTAGCGACTTAGGAATGCATTGTAGACAAGGACACAGAATTAACTCTGTACTCCCCAGTTTACAGCATGGCAGATTCCAGGTGTCCACCCCCCCAGCCCCATAACTTTAGTGAGAGAATGGATAATTTTTCACCTTTTCACATGCCTTGCTGTCAAGCCAGGCATCCCCCATCCTATATTTGTGCACCTGGTTATTCCTGCCTAAGTGCAGGACCTTATATTTGACCCTGTAGAAATTCATTTGGTTAGTTTTGGCTCAGCTCTCCAATCTGCTAAAATCATCTTCAATCCTGATTCTATCTTCCACTGTGTTTGTTACCCCTCCCACTTTGCAAATTTGATGAGCATCCACTCAGTTCCTTCAACCAACTCATTCATAAAGATGTCAAGCAACAACGGGCCCAGGACCTTGCGGCACCCCACTTGTCACCTTTTCCTACCCCACAGGATCACCTGGGTAACACCATGACATTGCTGCTGGTTCACCATTCAGCTTTTAAGAGTATTATTATTATTATTATTATTATTATTATTATTATTATTATTTCCCTGCTTAAGCTCTTCATTGCTTATAGTTCCTACAGGAAGAACGCTGAACTTCTGATAGAATGCAAGAATACACTGCAAGATTCAGTTGCAGTCCCCACCTTGGTTTGGTGCCAAGCTGGCTGTGTGGTGTAGTGGTTAAGAGCGGTAGTCTCGTAATCTGGGGAACCAGGTTCGCATCGCCGCTCCTCCACATGCAGCTGCTGGGTGACCTTGGGCCAGTCACACTTCTCTGAAGTCTCTCAGCCCCACTCACCTCACAGAGTGTTTGTTG